TATCCCTTCCACTGGTTTTGTGGTTCTGTTTCTTTAGAGAACCCTGACTAATACAGTACATAAACCACTCACAATCAATTTGAACTTGATTCCATCAAAGTGTAAAATAACCCTGTGTAAACATTAGGGAATGTATTAGGATTTTAACTAATGTGTTGATACTCTGGGCTTATATATTTAAGTCCTTCAGAGTTGTGCACCTAAATATATATAGTGACATGGTATAGTGTCTAGGATTTGCTTTAAAATGTGCAAAGAGAGAAGTGCGTGTATTTAAGCAGTGAAGCAAATTGCCAAGAGTTGGTAAGTGGAAGTTGGTGATGGGTCTATGAAAGTTCCTGATAGCATTCTTCCTAGGATGTGGTCAAAAATTCTCATTCATAACAAATTTAAACAAATCTCTACCTCTGGAGTTTACATTGTAGTGGGTGACACCTACAGTCTCAAATCTAAATCACTCAGGATTAGTGCACTGTTCCTGTGAAGGGCCAGGCAGTAAATATTTAGCCTAGGTTGAATACTCATTTTCTGTGTTCTCTGTTCTGTTTTTAACTACTCCTGGTTTTGAACTATGTAAACGCATCACTTGGGCTGTTGCTAACCCCCTGCTCGTGCCAGGGCCTTTTGTTGTTGCTCCTTGTTTGCTTGTTTTTAATGGTCGTTTAGAAGCCATGCTAGGGTTTTGGAAACTGCTGTAGCTGCCAGCACAGTTGTGTCCCCACTATTTGGAGAATGACATAGACATAACTTCTACTGTATTTCTTGAGCAGCATTGAATTTTTCAATGTATTTTATTTTTCCTTTTTTTTTTCTTTTTTAATGTGTATAAGGGTATTGCGTGCATGTAAGTGCATCTGTGTCTTGCAGTGCCCGCGGAGGACAGAAGAGGCCATTGGATCCCATGGAACTAGAGTTACAGATAGTTGTTAGCTGCCATGTGGGTACTGGAATTCGAACCCGGGTCCTCTGCAAGAACAAGCAGTGCTGTTAAAGCACTGAGCTATCTCTCCAGCTCAGTATCTCTCCAGCTCAGTGTATTTTCTTTTTTTTTTTTTTTTTTGAGACAGGCTCCCTGTAAGCCCCAGCTATCCTGGAACTCACTATGTAGACCAGGCTGGCCTTGAACTCACAGAAATCCGCCTGCCTCTGCTATCCAAGTACTGGGATTAAAGGCGTGTGCAGTGCTGTTAAAGCACTGAGCTATCTCTCCAGCTCAGTATCTCTCCAGCTCAGTGTATTTTCTTTTTTTTTTTTTTTTTTGAGACAGGCTCCCTGTAAGCCCCAGCTATCCTGGAACTCACTATGTAGACCAGGCTGGCCTTGAACTCACAGAGATCCGCCTGCCTCTGCTATCTAAGTACTGGGATTAAAGGCGTGTGCCACCACGCCCCGCCTTCAGTGTATTTTCTTTACAACTCATTCAGTGGTTCTCTAATCCCCAGGGGTATTGTTCTCATGAACTAAGACAAGGTTTGAAAGTAGTTCCATTCTTAATACCTTTAGAAGCAAGAGGCTGGCAGGTGGTGTCATTGACCTGCAGTCAGCACACTCAGAGCTGCTATATGTATGTCATTCACTGTGCAGATTCTTTTCTTCTTTTGCTATGAACTAATGTATTTTCTTTATTTAGAATATGGCCATTCGTGTTTCTATTAAAATCTGAGCCCCAGCGCCTAGTATTCTTTTTACAAAACAGCAAGCATTCAGATGTTCCTAACTGAAATGAAAAATGACCTGCAGTCAGCACACTCAGAGCTGCTATATGTATGTCATTCACTGTGCAGATTCTTTTCTTCTTTTGCTATGAACTAATGTATTTTCTTTATTTAGAATATGGCCATTCGTGTTTCTATTAAAATCTGAGCCCCAGCGCCTAGTATTCTTTTTACAAAACAGCAAGCATTCAGATGTTCCTAACTGAAATGAAAAATATTCTCATTTTTTCTGGCACTTGAAGTTACAGTGTTACAATGCTGCTGTGTTTGCTACAATTAGCTTTCTAGGTCTGTTTTTGAAAGATGAGCAAAAATAAATGTAGCATTTTCTTCCAAAAGTATTTTAAAATATAAAGCATTATACTTACATAATCTGCTACAGTTTCATTTGATAATATATTTACTTTAAAATATTAGCTTTTTTTTTTTTTTACTCAGGAAGAAATAGACAAAATAGTAGAGACCACAGAGTCAATGACCGAGAATATTCAGAGCCTAAAGAACAAAATTCAGATTCTGACACAGGAGGTAGAGGAAGAAGAGGAGAAAGTCAAAGAGGTAATTGTTAAAAACTATATTGCTAGAATGTAAATATAATTTTTAATGCCTAAATGCTACCAAGACAGCTTTTGAGTATTATATGGTAAACAAAATTATCTTTTTGAACTAATCCTTAGCTTTCTGTTTCTGTTTAGGTGTTTCACATGGATAGTAATAGGGTGCTGTCTCTTCCAGAACTTTCTCAGAAAAGTCTTAAAGCACCTACACTTCAAGTAAGTATCCCCAAACCATACAACTACCAGGTTATCTTACATATGTATCCATAAACTATATCCCTTTTCTTTCTTTAAATCAACTAAGCCTGATTTAAGCTTAGCTTTTTGGCAAATGACTTTTCTCATTTGACATGTAATTTGCCCTACTTTCCTATCAGTTCATGTAAATTTCATGCTCATCAACAGCTCTATAACATTCCATTGCAGGGATGTACTATAATTGTAAATTAATGATGCAAGTAGATAATTTTTATATTACCGTTTATGCCCTTATACATATATTTTTGCATATTTTTATAGTCATAACCATAGGTACATTTCTCTATAACTTTTGACAGTTTTTGTTTAAGCATCTAACAATGACATATAACTCTTTATAAAATAGCATTGCAGTAATTGTCATTAATCTATACGTTGATAGTTTATCTAGAGGTAGTCAGTACTGTAGTACAAATGTTTGTTTTACTATCTCTAATGTACCACTGGAGCAGGATGGGAGGAAGGAAAGATGGATTTGAAAGATGAGTGGCCTTTACTGATAATTAGTGAAGTTGGTAGTGGGTCCTTAAGATTATTATACATGCCTCCAAGTAACAGACATTTTGACATTTTTCATAATAAAATGTTTAAAATGAAATATACTATCTTACCCACAGAATGAAATTTTGACGCTAATTCCGAACCCGAATGCTCTTCTAATGGATTTGGATGTTCTGCACAATTCATCCCCAATGAAGACCATGTCAGCATTCATTCAGAAAGCCTATGAGAAACTTGATGGCTTTTAGAGTGCTTTTATGGTATTTTCAAAAATTGTTCCATGTTAATTTACTGTTCATGAATTTGTAAAACGTTTTTCTTTGTGGAGACAGTCTCACTCTGTGCTGCCCATGCTGGCCTTGAATTCATGCCAGTCCTGCCTTAGCCTCCTGAGTGCTGAGGTTATGAGTGTGAGCTAGCACATCCACACCGGACTTAGGAAACCTAACCTGTATTGATGTTACAAAGCTGAACCTTCTGCGGGATTGACTATACTCTGTTACGCACTTTCAAATAGCCTCTGTGGGCCTATCATTAGTATCTAATGTAATCCTGAAAACTTTGTTTATATCAGTTCTAAATATAAGAAACCCATATTTATGCTGCTGTATCTGTGGATATTTGCCTAAAATCATTAGTAAGAATGATTTTAAAAATAGAATAAAAAGGCCATGGTCTGATATTTTATAGTATCTGAATTGAACTCATTTATTGGTTAGTGTAAAGAAACTAATACTCTAGCTTCGTTTATGAAGTATTTGTATATAGTGTCTAATGAATAAAAACATGTGTTGGCTGGTGAGATGCCTGGCAGTTAAGAGTACGCACTGCTCTTCCAAAGGACCCAATTCTGTTCCCAGCACCCACATTGAGCAACTCACAACCACCCGTAAGTAACTCGAGCTCCAGAGGGATCTGACACCTCTGGATTCACTGTGGTCACTTGCACATTTCTACACATAGACACACATATACATACACATAATTTAAAATTTTTAAAAATACAAAAATGTGGGGGGCTGGAGAGATGGCTCAGCGATTAAGAGCACTGCTAAATTAAATTTTTTTTAAAAATTGAAAATGGGAGGGTAGTGCTAGAGCAATGGATCAGTGGTTATGAGCGCTGGCTGTTCTTGCAGGGGACCTGGGTTTGGTTCCTAGCACCCACATGGCAGCTCATAGTGGTCTGTAACTCCAATTTCAGGGGATCCAACGACCTCTTGGCTTCCATAGGCACTGCATGCACATGGTGCACAAATACATATCCAGTCAAAACACTCTTAAGCATAAAACACAAATAAATCTTTTATTAAAACAGTTGGTGGTGTTTGATCCTCCTCACCCATTAGCTCAGCCTTCATTTTTGTCTGGTCACATGAAACTTAGAAATCCCCTAGTACCTTAAGTTCATACTTTTTGTGGGATTGTTGTTAATATTTCTCAGGCATATTTAACATTGAAGGGAATAACATTTTGGTTCTTTGGTTGGTTGGTGAATGATCAAATGTTGAATATTTTCTGCTGTCATCAAAGCATACTCTGATTTAAGAACAATATTCAAAAGGAATATTCCCCTAAAATAAAAACCAGCTGGGAAAACCCAATGTAGGGGAAGCGGCTGCCAAAGGCTGATGGTACTGGGAGGTGACAAAGAGGACAGACACATCTCATCTTATTAGACTTGATACCTTATCTGCATAAAGGATAGTAGGACAGGAAATTCCAGCACCCTGCAGTAGAAAAGAAGGGCTTATATACTAAATAACACAACAACCTACAGCTAACCCAAATGTCCCTGGGCTCTCTCAGAAACTAACATGTCATGTCAGTTATGAGACAGTCTGGTGTCAATGACTACCACACATGTTCATCTCATGTCTCAACAACTTTGTCATCCTACAGAGTAGATATGTACCATGATCACCTGACTGGCAAGATGGCAGTTTTGACATTTTGACCGAGACGACACTAGTCACATTAAACTATATCCCTAAAGCCCTTTTGCCTCAGTCTTGACTCACTATGATAAACATATATGTGAATAAATTATTCTTTAAACATGTCAAAAATCATTTCTAAGCAACAATGGTACATCTTGATGAAGGGAAGAGGAAGGGGCTAGAGAGATGGCTCAGCAGTTAAGAACACGGTTGTTCTTGTAGAAGACCCGGGTTCAAATCCCAGCACCAACATGGCAGCTAATAACTGTCGGTAACTCCAGTTCCAGGGGATCTGACGGCCTCTTCTGTCCTCCACGGGCACTGCACAACACGGGTGCACTTATGTATGTGCAGATAATACACTCATATAATAAAAATAGTAAAATATTTAAAAAATACATATCCAGTCAAAACACTCTTAAGCATAAAACACAAATAAATCTTTTATTAAAACAGTTGGTGGTGTTTGATCCTCCTCACCCATTAGCTCAGCCTTCATTTTTGTCTGGTCACATGAAACTTAGAAATCCCCTAGTACCTTAAGTTCATACTTTTTGTGGGATTGTTGTTAATATTTCTCAGGCATATTTAACATTGAAGGGAATAACATTTTGGTTCTTTGGTTGGTTGGTGAATGATCAAATGTTGAATATTTTCTGCTGTCATCAAAGCATACTCTGATTTAAGAACAATATTCAAAAGGAATATTCCCCTAAAATAAAAACCAGCTGGGAAAACCCAATGTAGGGGAAGCGGCTGCCAAAGGCTGATGGTACTGGGAGGTGACAAAGAGGACAGACACATCTCATCTTATTAGACTTGATACCTTATCTGCATAAAGGATAGTAGGACAGGAAATTCCAGCACCCTGCAGTAGAAAAGAAGGGCTTATATACTAAATAACACAACAACCTACAGCTAACCCAAATGTCCCTGGGCTCTCTCAGAAACTAACATGTCATGTCAGTTATGAGACAGTCTGGTGTCAATGACTACCACACATGTTCATCTCATGTCTCAACAACTTTGTCATCCTACAGAGTAGATATGTACCATGATCACCTGACTGGCAAGATGGCAGTTTTGACATTTTGACCGAGACGACACTAGTCACATTAAACTATATCCCTAAAGCCCTTTTGCCTCAGTCTTGACTCACTATGATAAACATATATGTGAATAAATTATTCTTTAAACATGTCAAAAATCATTTCTAAGCAACAATGGTACATCTTGATATGTCTAATTTAAAATAACTATGATTATATTTTCTAATTAGAGCATCTGTCCTTATTTAGAAGATGTCATAAAACTGTTACTATCCTCTATGCAGAAATCCTCACAATGTTACCTGTGGTTAAACATGTTGGGTTTGATGCTCGTGGAGGGAAAGCAGGTCAGGAGGATCAGGTACCCATTTGACGAAAGGAAGAGAAGCAGGATCATCTTAGGAAGTGATGGTAAGGAGGCCTGGAGGAAAGGGACAAAGCAACAGATTCTACAGAACACCTTAAAACCTTCACTTGGAAACTAAAACTTCATGCTTTTAGACTGGCTCGTAGAACCTAAGTTGTTGATGAGCGTTGTGTTAGGACATTTGTACTAGCATGCTGGGGATGGAGGAGTTCCGTAAATATGTGCTTTTCCCTCAGAATATATGCATCAGATTATTGAAAGTCAACTGGAATCTAGTTTATCATGACCACTGAGTGACAGCACATGCCATCGATGAACTGGGCATGCTACTGTCATGGGTTTAGGAGCGTATGCCTTAATTTAGATCTAGTGTATTGTCTGGGACATAGCAGGCAATCTAAAAATACACAGCTTTTCTTTCAGCGCTTCATTTTGGCATACTTTTTGTGAATAATTTGAGTTAATTACATGGTTAATATTCTTTATGCCCAAATAGATGCTAAATAAATAAAAACTTATCAATGAATAACAGGTATCCATTTAGCAAAAGCCTTGTGTCATTATAAGCAAAAATAAAATCATAAGGGCGGGGCTGGAGAGATGGCTTAGTGATTAAGAACACTGGTTGTTCTTGCAGAAGACCCGGGTTCGAGTCCCAGCACCCACATGGCAGCTAACAACTGTCCATAATTCCAGTCCCAGGGGATCTAACAGCCTGTTCTGACCTCTGCAGGCATGGTACGACACGAGTGCACTTACCTACATACAGGCAATACATGCATACCCATAAAATAAAAAAAAATTAAATTATAAGGGGAAAAAATAATTATATAAAACTTTGATTCTTTGAAAAGTTTTTAAAGAGCCAAACCAAATACCAAATACAATGAAGACTAGAAAATAGCATATATTAAACAAAATATTGATAAAGAGCTCTAAAATACCAATAATATAAGATACCAATAGAAAATGGAATAATTTTTAAAGAGTTTAAAAGGTTAAGAAGTGTTTGAAATATATTCAGCCTTATAATAATCATTTAGATACAAAGTGCTTGCACTGATCAGGTTGGCTTTTTTTTTTTAACTAAAAAATTGTTGAGCTGACTGGGAAGTGGGCATCCAGTAAATCTGCAGACAGTACCTTGTTACAACTTTTGGGAGATGGACTATGCTGATGAGTTGTAGCCTCGATATAATGTCAGACATTTAAAATTCTTTATGTAAGTCCATCCATTACCTGCCAGCTCTGTCAGGCATATCTTCAACAATTAGTCTTTGTTTAATATGAAACACCTGTGGTAGAACCCAAAATTAAAGGATTTACTTCATTTGGTTGGATATTATTTCTTGGCATTCTCTGTTTACCAAAAATACGCAGTTGCACCTGTCGGAATTAGCGTTTGAATTGTTCACATTGGCTGATTTCTAAACACGTCTAAATCTTCTCATGTTTCATTCATTGTCAAGAAATGTTAGGCTTTGAGAAAGAGAAAGGAGGGATGGAAAGCAAGCAGAAACTGAACTTTCTCAGTTCAGCTTTAGCATATCTGAAGGGACTGAGCCGGCTTTTCTTACAAAGTGCTTCTGCCTTTTGGAAAAACTTTTCTTTACTACTAAAGCACTACAGAGCCACTTTCCCTGGGCTTGGGTGTTTGATTTTTGTTACTGTTTGAGACAGGGTCTCACTTTGTAGCCCAAGCTAGCCTGGGACCTGTGTAGGTTCTCCTATCTGGCTCCAGCGTGCTGGGATTACAGGCATGCACCTCCATACCCAGCTTGCTTTCCTCTCTGAGGTTGCCCCTGTCACAGGGCTGTGAGTTACTAGAGCAGGTGTATAAAAATGGGTGATCACTGTTCAATTACAATTGGACAAAAAGACAAAGGAAATGTGTTTTCTAAGGTCAATAAAAAGGGGACATAATAGATTTTATTTAAAATTGAAATTGTTCATTTATGGGCCAATAGAAACAAATAGGCCTTTGCCTGTTGCAACCATTTCCATTCCCAAGGAAGTTCTTAAAATCAATGTCACTTTTTAAGTGAGACATTATGACCATAACAGTGTTAGAGGGCTGACATGCAGAGCACTCTTCAAGCCCATTACATACCTGTGTGTATGTGTGTGTGTACCCACAGATTCGTGTCCTTATATCGATGTTTAATGTCAACAACCTGGGGCTAGAGAGATGGCTCAGTGGTTAAGAACATTTACTGTTCCTCTAGAAGATCTCAGTTCAATTCCCAGCACCCACATGGCAGCTAACAACTGTCCGTAACTCCAGTTCCAGGGGATCCGACAGCCTTTCCTGGCCTCTGCAGCCT